AACCTTCTTTCACACATACAGACAATTATTCACAGGTATCTATCATTGCACGCTAAACGGTTGTCTCGCTTCGATGCAAAGGCAAGGCTACCTTTCAAGATGTYGCACCTAACCGTGAAGGGGACTATTAAGAGAAACCTGAAAGCCCAYGGCCTTSGACCATTGTTATATTCAGCAATGAAGTGGAATGGGCATTACATGTAGCTTAAATAAATATTTCTGATAAGCAGCAGTTTACTTTATTAGATGAAAGCTATATATTTTGCATGCATTTTTATTAATATGATTTTTAGCTTTAAAATTATCTTAAAATGCCATGTATTTTGTACATGCAATGCAAGCATATTTAGAAATGCAGAGATTGGAATGTCTTGTGGATGAAATAACAAGGATAAGTATAATATTGTGCAACACATATTAAAATAATAATTAATATGTAATTAAAAATCCCATGCAACTTCTATCTTTGTGAAGAGAAGAGTTTCACTTTGCAATGCAAATTGGCTGTGTGGTCTTACAGGTACAATGTACATGTACTACAAAAGGGAACCCGGTAACGTGAAATTCGTGAATAAATTACTATAATAAGTTAATATTTCTGAAAACAAGTAACGCAGGCTCAAGTTTACAGGAAAGGGAGTGACTGACTGAGTGAGTGACAGATTCTCCCTTAAAGCAGTGTGCATTACAAATTGAAAGCCATCACTTTATCCAGATATAACATGACTATTAAACAAAATATGTACAATTCTCACCGCTGGATGATATACTTGATGTAGAAGTAGATTGTGTGACGTCACCATTGCCCTCCATGGGCGTGACGTCATGCTGACCACTATCATATGATAATACTTGATGATAAATTAATTCTAGAACGAATGATCAAAGTTTAATATAATCACAAGAAAAGTTTTGATATTAAAATTATATTTTGCCATTAATTTCTCTATATGTACATTGAATATCCCTGATTGTTATTACAAAGCTAACAATGCTACATGTAATGTTTTAATGGATGTGTCAAAACTTACTTTTCCATTCTTCAACTGTRTGCTCCTGAGCATCGATAGAATGATCATATTTTTTGTTGACAGGCTGAAAGACACACGTCAAGACATTTTACAATTAGTTGATGTTATTCTCATAATCTATAGATTCAATGAATTGTTAATTGTTTAACAATAAGGAAATTAAACAATTGTCTATATTTAAAGTTTGATACTATGTCCTATTCTTGACAATTGATATTTCATGTGATTGTCTTTTATAGTTATTAACAGAGCATCTACACTGTACACTGTATACGTCAGGCAGACTTACGGTGCAGTCAAAGAAACTAGTAAACATCAGACGATAAAACAACCATTATTTCAAGTAATAGAACAGGAGAAACAGTCAGAAGTAATACTGTTTGACAAGTCTGTATACACAAGCACAACACTTTGAGGTTTTTCGCTTGCCTGACGGAGTGCTCCAAAAAACTAAATCTCAGGCAATCGATTTAAAACAAAAATATTGCTAGAAAATCATAATATCAAAGTGATAGAGCAAGAAATTTGCCAAGAAGTCTCGACTAGAAAGCAGTACAAGCCATACTTACACATTCAACTTCACTAGCATCATACCAAACATGAACATAAGGGTGATGTAAAGCATCTACCACATTGATTCTCTTAGCTGGGTCTATGACTAGCATTTTAGATAGTAAATCTCTACATTGTGCTGCTGAAAAATCACAACAAACAGAATGATTAACAAATAGAATGGTTTACATTAGAAACAAAATTAAGAAAAAGAATTTAGTGTGGATTTGTCTAAGTTAAAGTAAATTATCACTGGYCCTAGACAGGCACAATTGTAATGCTCACGTCTAGGCCACGTTGCAACTCAGACACAATTGACAATCAAAATTATTATAAATATTGCCCCCTATTGATATCACTATCTATACCATTTTGCCCCACGAAATCTTGTTAAAATTCACAAAATATGTGTGTATTTTGTGAATTTTAACAAGATTTCGTGGGCAAAATGGTATAGATAGTGATATCAATAGGGGGTGATATTGATTGGGGGCAAGATGGCRTTGGGGCAAGATGACCAGTTACTGATTATAATGCAGTTTTATAGCCCCAGTTTATTGAATATTTATTGCTTTGATCAATATCAATCCTTATCACAAAATTATTAATACCTTTTAATTTGTTTCCAGGTGGAAATAATTCATCAGGAAAGAGAGTTTCACATGAATATCCTGGTTGTCGTGGTCTTCTTGTACAGTACATCCGTACCTTACACGAAAAAATATATATATTGCAGCAATAAAAAGCAATGTACACCCCCCAACTTCAGTATTTTGGCCATGTGAAACACAGAAATAATATTCTGACAATGGCTGTAGAGGGAAAGTGGCTGCGTTGAGTCCTCGCAACAACTGAGGGTGAAGAATGTGAAAAAGTGGACCGGCCCAAGCTGCTGACTGTAACATGTGGAGTGTCATTGCTTGTCAATCATCACAGAGACAATGACACTCCCAGGTATCCAGGTACACCCCTAACAGCTAAGAATAATATACTGTAGTATGTGGAAGTGTATTTCAAAGGTTTATGAAATCCACTCTAAATATTTAGTACATGTAGTAAGCTTACTGATGGTTGGAGCTGGTTAAGAAATGACTCTGAGGGTGTTCCTAACTGCTCTGTCACTTTGTTCCATTGATCAATATCTACATGTAACATTAAGGATATCTACAATATTCAATACAATCATGTATTTTCAATACAATCATGTAATTTGGAAATGTTTGAATTCATACAATCATGGACATAATATTTTTTTTATGTTGTAAATCACAGTTTTGATGAAGATAAATTCTCCCACAGGGGGGATGATTGTATTGCTCATTTAAAGTCTTACAGTAAATCTTTAAAAGGACCTCAGTCCTACACAGATGGGCATGGCACTGCTGAAATTCTGCTCTTAAAAAAGCATGCTACAATTATTATCAAAGAATCAAAAAATGGTACTAATCCAAATCAAATATCAATGTTCATTCTAACCAACCACTCATTTATCTAAGGCAACAAAAGCTTCTTTGCAGCTCTATTCAGTTCAGAACAAAAAGAAAATGATTTGTATATGGTCATCCAGCCATRAAATTGCTTATATATATCTCTGCAACACACAGCACTGACACTATACTTTGATATAAATAATGTCCTTTCAGAATACAGAAGCCATTTTCAAAAAGCTTAGAATTTTTGCTTTGTGATATAATCTTAGAAATCTATTATTTTATAGTATACATTATTCTTTCTATTTTCCTATGCAAATAATAGAGCGGATTTCGTATGAGTGGGAAAYGGACGGTACTGTACTGTGACYGTAATCGTACTGTAACCAAATTTTAGTGCCTCATTGGTTCACCAAAATTGTGCAGGCCAGGTCCGGTAACTGTGCGGTAACCRTCCGGTAACGGTGTCCCACTCATACAAAATCTGCTCTAATGGCACAATATATCTAAGTACAAGAAAAAGGATACGGTCACTCCCAGGAAACATAACATGCCCTCTAATCATCTCGGCCAGTATACATCCTATTGACCATACATCTACATTGTCGCTATAACCCATCCCCAGTATGACCTCAGGCGCTCTATAATATCTTGTTACTACGTAAGGAGTCATCATGAACGCTGACCCTGCTGTCCTCGCCAAACCAAAATCTAATATCTGGAAGAATAGTACAACCTTGCTGTTACAGTAATTCATAAAAATCATTTATCAAATTCATTAATAATCTATAAATAATCTATATAAATTATCTATAATGTATTTTACAAGCCTTAAAAGCCATTTGTTGAATGCTGTACAGTACCATCAATTGTCTAGAGCTCTGTACATACATTACTGTCTTGTAATGCATACGCCATGTATTAATGTACAATGTACATGTAATGTGTAATGCATTATTACTTATTATTATTATTTATTAATATTATTACTATTTACCTTCAGTGAACAGTCTGATTTAACAACTATGTTACTAGGCTTAAGATCCTATGAAAGAAGACACAAACAAATCAATAGACATAATTATACCAGCAAATATTTCTCTCCTGGTGGGACATACGGGGTGACCTACTGTACGTAGGACGCAGTTGATGTAATGTATTCATAAAATGCATTGTATTCCATTGTTTCTCGTTCTATTGTATTATGTGTTTTGTATTATATCTTTATGAATATATTACATCAACTGAGTGCTACCTAGATTCTCCCTGGGACATACATGTTTAAAGTTAACTCAGGGGAGTGGGCAGGGGTTTCATGAGGAGGGGGGGGAGGGGGGAGGTCTCAGCTGCTTTGCTTTGCTGTGAASAAGGCAATTGACTGCTGTTTTGGATTTACACCAAACAAAACTGTTAAAATATCCCAATGGCAACATGTGTTAACCTAAAGACCTGGCAAAAAGTTTCATTTTTTAAAGATTTTGTCTGCAGAGAAAGGGCAGGTTCCAGAACCCCTTGAACCATCCCCTGTACACACTATGTAGGCATACGTGTAGACAAGGGAACATGGAATTGAAAGAGCTCTATTAAGCTCTTGATGTGTTTTACTGTTTGCTTCCCTCAGTTAAAAGCAATGAAGCACTACTGACAAAGTTATAACATTATTTACATGTATGCCCATCAGACCTTATTGAAAGTTGTGAAGGAATGGATMTCTGGCTTTACAAATACACCATGTCTGATCACCTGATCTCAGAGTTCAACCCTCTGAACCACAGCATGTGCAGTACACACACCAAACTACTTAAATTCATCATAACATAAAGCGCACAAAAATCATGATAATTTAAAAAATGAAATATTAACAAGATTGACATACCCTATGAATAATATCTGCATCATGGAGATGCTGCAAAAAAACGTATGTAATATTAGTGAATGGTAAGTGAAAACTGMCAAGTTCTCAGGCATCCCAGCCAAAAACAATTATTGGAATGAAATGAAAATGGACAGACATTTGACTTCATCAGAAACTGCCTGATTTTGGTGTGAGCTTAACCCAACCCCTTGGTTCATGACCACTTTGGTTTTGTCACTTTTAATACATGAGTGCTCAAGAGGTRGAAAGACGGTACCTTAACTCCACATAACATCTGATACAGGAGATACGATAATCTCTCATGGTCTAAATCCATTTGAATTACTTGACAAAGACTAGCATCCATTAATTCCATAACTAAATATCTAAACAACAAACACACTTTGTTAGTACAAAGATTTCACTATAAGTGTACTATCGATAGTTTAAGTTAAATTATCACAATACATGTAGTTTATATTGAGCATAATTTTGCAATCTGTGCATTACTATTGTAGCTTTGACCTCGCAATTATTTGATATTTTGATGCATAGTTACTCCATTATCATTAAGAAAATTAGTTAAGTATGTACTCACAAGTCATTAAAGTCTTCTAAACATCTATCTGGAGTAAATACATTTAATAAACCAATTATCTGTAAAACAAGGTAAGCATTTTAGTTCATAATATAGTAAATAAAGATGATAGACCACAGTGCTCTAATAGCCAGCTTTAGATATTCTGGTTTTAGTTAATTTAGGTACAAAAGAACTGAAGACCAGCCCTCATTCTATATCTTGCCTCTCATTCTCTGTGCTTGACCATCGCACTTTGCGCTCAATATTAACCCATGACAGTAAAACAGAGTCTGACATGAACAAGTCTACCAAAATGCCAAAAGTGGGCTATTACATGGACAAAGGGCTGGTTTAAACAACAAATAAGCAGATGGAGAAAATGGGAATTTTCTATTTGTCAAGCAGAGAAATGATTTAAGCAGAAGAAGAAAGTTTCAGGTTGATTATATTTTTTTTCTAGAAATTACAATGAGTGATGTGGTTTCTTGTGTTTCTGACGTACACTTGATTGACATAAGCATTTAGTCCCATCCTTGTGTCTAATGTGAATTTCTGTTCAAATGCAGTGTGAACTTGAACTCATTTTTTTATCCAAAATTATTATCACAACAGTATAATTCATCAATCAATTACAATTAATTTACTTACATTTTTATGATTAACAATCTTCATTAACACCAATTCTCGGTAAGCTCTCTTTGCATGGGTGACATTCTGGAAAGGTCGACTGAGCTTCTTGATGGCCACTTTCTCTCCAGTTTCAGTGTCTATGGCAGCACTGTGAAGATGGACAGACACACTTATTACAACAGATTTCATCTCAGTGCAACAGATGATCACTGCTTGTAAGACACACAAAACCTTGCCACTGGTATTGATATCAAATACTCTTTTTTCCAGTTCAAAGCAAACAACCGCTGATTTAGTTGACAACAGTCTCTCATGCACAGAGACCTGACCAAAAACAAAAGAAATCATGAAAAAATGTTGTGATTACAATAGGGCTACATAGGTCTGTATTCCCAGAAGGTTCAACGTCAGGCTAAGCCTCGAATCGGAGAAGATTCAAATTTCTAGAGTTATTGTAATGTCAACATTTTTTCGTGCTTTATTTTGTCCTCTACGCAAGTGAGTTTGTTGTCCACTAAAACAGCGGTCRCTCGCATTGAACTGGAAAAAGGCTTATTAACCTTGTTACAGAGTCTTGTCTTATATTCTATTGCTTACCATGTTATCGAGCCGCAAAATGGCGAGATGCTTCTGTAAATCAGTTTGTTTTTAYGCCAAGCCTCTGGTCTCATGAGTAGTCAATCTCACTTTCATGCTGTACTTTAGGGAACCAATCACAGACCGGAGTATTTTAGCTGTGTCAAACATGTCAAATAAATGAACCAATAAGGGCACATAACAGATAATATTACTCTGATCTGTGATTGGTTCACTAAAATACAGCATGAAAGTGTGATTGCTTACACTGTCTTAATACCAGAGGCTTTGCATAAAAACAAACCGATTAACAGGGACATCTCCCAGCTTCATGCTTCGATAACATAGTATTGCTAAAGAATAAAAGACAAGCCAGGGTAACGTCCAATACAAATATTGATTCAAAAATACCACTGTCATGGCACATCATGGTCTCGGTACATACTTGTAAGCCCGTCATGTTTTTTTGCATGGTCATACAAATTCTGCTCTTATTGAAAAGCTACGCTTAACAACAGAACATACATGTATGTGTCAACTTCAATCCCAGATTTCAACATTGAGTGATAACAAAGTAAAWAATACAGAGAAAACTAAAACTGATATTCTAGATTTTTCATCATTGCGTGGCTTTTTATCCCAAAAAGAACCATCATCCAAAACATCAGTCAGTTTTCTTTCTTTTGAGGTTTTATAAATTATATTTTTACCCTTAATGTTTGAATATAAACAGKCCTACAATACAATAGCTTTGTACATCAACTTCTCATTTACTTTTGGTTACATGTATTTTATTACTATTGTGCAATAATTTGTTATGTGTATAGTAAATGTATTCTGGCCTTAAAATAGCATTGCACTTGTAAAGCATTTCAGAATAAATAGAAAATTGGAAATTAAAATAAATTGCCAAAAAGATAACTAGATTAAGCCTAATTATCTTTCACATTATCAATATTCATTAGATTCCTACTATAAGCAAGCTTCAAAAATTGTAGAATTACACAAATTTTGTAAATTACAGTAATTCAAAGCGCTTAACTCCAAGAAGTTGAAAAATTTGATCTATGTTGTGACCATTGAGGAGAAGTGATCGCTACTTGTAAAACACTAGAGCCACAAGCAAACGACAACAACGACTTCACGGAAAAAAATACACTACCGGCAGGGTTTATTCAAATGTCAAAAAACTCATTCATTGCCGTCAAAAAATCTTCTATAAATATAAATATATTGAGTCTATTAAAAAACTAACTGAGACATCTATTATGTAAAAAGAGTAAGGGTTTTAGGGGCTCTGTTTGATTCATTTTTCCTGTGAAAAAATTGCACTCACAAGTCTTGTTTTGGTAGACTCTATCAACGCAGAGAATTTAAAAGATCTTAAAAATGAGAAAAGTCCTTGATATGACATATTAATCCTCTTTTACTAAGAAGAAAGGTTTCAACTACGYGCTTTATAGCAGGGATTTTTACAAGCAAGCAGAGATCAAGTCATTTGACGACATTTTAGATTTGAGAAACACCAAAAATTTGTGATTTTTCTTGGCCTTGGTAGTCGGTTCGTTTATCACATATTTTGTATTTCTATGAGCGGTAAAAGTCATAAAAAATACTTTAGATACAGTGAATATCACTTATTTTCATATTGTGATCAAAGATCTCTTCCGCGATTGCATAAGAATTTTGCTTCGGAATTTATAAAAAAAGTTCATTTCGAAGTCAATCTCGTACGAACGCAATTCCACCTTATAGCCCTCAAAAATACGTTTCTACGAAGCCATCCTGGCGAATTCTCGAGTTTCAATTTAGCGAATAAATACAAAGATGTTAATGATAAATAACTATAGAGGGAAGAAGTCACAYAGAAGAATAAAATATAAAATATTGTCTTACCAAACCATCCCTTGGGCCCCTGACCCGATAGGCTGTAGATTTTGGTAGCGTTTGAGAACAACGAATACAGTGTCCCCAACTTGCACTGAATAAAACATCTCCCCATAGAATGTTTCTACCGTATCTACCTGTCCATCTGAAATCTTTTTTTCAAGGAGTACATAGTCTAAAGTACGGAACAACAGAGGAACAAGATCACAACATTTCAAAAACATCGGCGATGTTTGGCAGCCATAATGGKCATGCGTGATGCAMGGCACTGCGCATGCGTTCGGYGCTTGGAAGACTGGGGATGAGGAGTGGGAAAAAATTGGAAAAAGTTCTGACGCAGAAAACACGCGATGCAAAAATAACTAAACACTCGCTCAAACAATCCAATGAACAAAGTAAAAAGTAAATTAGGCCATGTCTTAAGTACAGTTTCGAGGTTTATAAAGTCGGCTATATATAAAGGCGGCAAAATATAAATCAAAAAGTGTCAAACACACTCGCGCAACCATGATCAAAACTAGTGTTCCGTCCGAGGTGAAAACGAATCATAAACATCTCAGTATTTTAGATTTTGACTGATGGGGAAACCATTTTTGWTTTATTCAACCTAAAAACTAGATTATCAAGCACCAATAAAAGGCAGGCTGGTATATCAAACCATGTGTGAAACCGTGATATTCACGAATATCACATGACATCGCGGGCCGCCCTTTGCCGAGCAAATATGCCGGCATTTTTTCACACCTGCAAGTAAAATAAGAAATAAATATTACCTGTTTTGTGAAAGTTTATAATAAACTACTAACCAAACGGCTTGAAATAAAGAATTTCTTTCAGGAGGCTTTCCCTGAAAAATATGTTAGTCGGTTACCATTTTTGAAAGTGAAATATTTCGAATAGTCGCTGAAATTTCAAAGCAAGAAAGTAAACAGCCATCTGTTAGAAGTCTTTTCGACTGCGACTGAAGAGNTTACTAGATATACCTATTCTTCTAGTTACTAGATATACCTATTCTTCTAGTTACTAGATATACCTATTCTTCTAGTTACTAGATATACCTATTCTTCTAGTTACTAGATATACCTATTCTTCTAGTTACTAGATATACCTATTCTTCTAGTTACTAGATATACCTATTCTTCTAGTTACTAGATATACCTATTCTTCTAGTTACTAGATATACCTATTCTTCTAGTTACTAGATATACCTATTCTTCTAGTTACTAGATATACCTATTCTTCTAGTTACTAGATATACCTATTCTTCTAGTTACTAGATATACCTATTCTTCTATGTGACTTCTTCTCTCTATAGTTATTTATCAAGCCAAGAGAATAAATTTACAAGAAAATTAATAAGGAGATCACTCAATGAGAGAGACTGAAGTGATACAGTCACACATCATGACTCGGCCTGATGATAAGAGTATCATCCAGGAAAGAGTTTATTTTGTGTACGGCACACGAAAGTCATGTGCCATGATGCAGTGCAGGACGTCTTTTGACAGAAAGATTTCTCATTTGTCTCATATTGCTCATACCACCGACATGGCCGCCAATCCTTTTGCACACAATGAAATGATTCACTCCCTGCTACAAGCATTGCGCGCAACTTAAAAAGAAATCTGAAATGGAAGGCATTTTTGTTTTTATTGTCTGAGATATTCGACCCTTTTTAACGTTGAACATTGTTGTAGGATCCGATTGTATAAAATATTAATGCATGTAAAATAGTCGTTTTCAAAAACCATTATTTTGGAAAAGCTTATAAAGTTATCATTATTGCCTTTATTCGATATTGACCGATAATCACAATGATATACAACCAATTCGAGTCCATGAGATTCTACGTAAAGCTAAATGAGTGCTCTTTTCTACTCTTATTTACTGTGTTATTTAGTCTCTGCAGTTCTATCTATTTTCAAAAAATAACAAAGATACTTCTGGTTCATAACTATATCACAGGAGGATCCGACGGGGTCTGTTCTTCTAAATATAAACTGTTCTTGTACCATTTTTTCCTCGGAGAGGGACTTTTGAGCTATATTGTTGACAATCTCACAAGCAAATGCATGTGGCGCCCTTCCTTCTTTAAAATAATTTTGTTCCTGAAAAACGTTTTTACGGTCAAAAAGGCTGAATCTTTTTTAAGTTAGGGACATTTTTATTTTCCTGGCAAAACTCTTAGAAAATATTCCTTGCCTGGA